AACACGACACTATTTTTGCCCCCCCCCCCCCCCTCCCACATCGCCCAATTCTAAAAAACAAAAAGGGCGCCCATTTTTGGGTCACATCACGGCCCCCCCCCACCCCCCCCCCACAAAAAAAACCCCCCCTTTTTTAAAAAAAACAAAGGCTTTCCCCGAGAGGCAAAATTTTTTTCAAAAACCCGAAACATCAAAAAATCTTTGGGGGGGGGTTAACCGCCCCCCCCCCCCCCCAACTTGTACCAGGGTGGGTGTATGAATTTGCGTGTACGTCCGAGGATTAACCTGGAGAGCATTTTAAACAAGAAGGGTCTGGATGAAGTTAACTGACAACTGGCATTTGTATTCCCCCCACCCGCCCCCATTCAAACGCTCAAAACAGGGGCTAGCTTGCTGTCCTTCCAAACGATTCCCTGCGTTCATAAGTCGCACCTGTTCCCCGCTCGTTTAGGAAATGGCCAACAATGCTCCAACGCAACTTTATTTTGCACACAAAACCAGTCTCTCAATCATCACTTCGCAAATGGTTATTACGTCATATGTCACGTGACCTACTTAGAGGGGTACCCGCGGGGTTCGCCTAGCCCTACAATATATCTTTTTTCCAAAGGCAGGGTTTACTTGAATGACTGTACCATTCACAACCCTTTTTAATAAATGCTAAAACGCTCTCAAGTTAATAAATTTGATTTGTACTCCATAGACAGTGAAATTCTTCAAACACTAGGCTACTGATATGGTTGTTATAAGATTTAAAGAAAGGCAAAACGCGACCTCGTCACCAGGGCGCTTTTCCCTGGCTTTGGAGGTGGGGCGCTTCTCCTCGTAATCATTAATCTTTATTCTATTTATTCTATTTATTTCGGTGTTGGGCATTTTATTCATTTAGGGATATATGCATATAAATAAATTTGTTTTTAGGTCGGTTCGGAAATCAAAAGGACAGAGGAAATTTTAAGCGCGTTATACAATTGAAATCAACTGGTGAACTTAAAGTAGCTGCATATAATAAGCAGTTTACGACCGATAACACTGAAAAAAGTTCAGAGACGTGTTTAGGAAGAGAAGAAAAAATTAGACAAGAACTCCAGTCGCAACATTTCTCTGGTCAACGTAAAGAAGCTAAACAAATAAAATTTGCTATTATTGTGGCAAAAACGGCCATATTTTACGTTTTTGTAGGAAGCGCCAATACGATTTGGGTGGCGCCCAACAATACGCCTATAAGCAATATTTAAACTAAATTCGATCTCCCTTGATCGGGACAAAGGAGAGATCCAGAAAACCAATAACCTTTTTGCAGTATCAAAGGATAACGCCGCTAGTGTCAATGAATTAAATTTTACTTCAACTAAGGCTGTCGTTAGTGACTCTCCTAAGCAGGCGGGTCCACAACCAAAAATTGCCACAACCCAAGCTGAATGGACTGCGCGTGGGTCTGATGTCCCGAAGAGACCCATGAAAAACTCCAGTGAGAATGAAAAAACAAAAATTGCACTGACATTTTGTCCGTTGAAACCAGCACCAGAACTTTTAAAATGTAATAGCCTGGAAAGACAAAATAAACTGGAGGAAAACAGCAATTACCAATCAGTGAAAGTTCCTTAATTCAGAGAACAGGATTTTATCGCTAATTCAGTTGCAAATTCGTGCAAACGCAAGGCAGTTCAAACAAAAATAAATGTTATGAGTTTTACTGAGAATAAACATTTCAGTTACATTCATAGCAGTATTCCCCGTGTTCGTGAAGAAATTGGTAGTCTTGAGAAACGAATAAATGAAACATTTTCTAACGTACGACGGACATGACGCTACTATTTTGAAATTTGATGAAGAATTGGGAACGCCAAGGAGCGCTATTGTTGAAAACAACAACAACAATAACAACTATTCAAGTGTTTGTTCCACGATAAGGAAACTTTCACGACACAAACAGACTAGTGAAATCGAAACTGGAAGTTTTAGTGGTTGGACAACTGAGAAAGAAGAGTTTGTAGTAATTCCTGAAGAACTGGAGCAAAAGTTTCAAACAGTAGAGTTACAAGAGAGCGAAATTATCTTCAAAACAAATCATTTTGTTTTTGAGGAATCCAAAATTTCGTGTTACCAAATACAATCATTTGGTTTGCAACCACGTGACAAGGCGGCCATGTTGGGGGTCAATACAATAGAACTTTTTCTCGAAGAATTTACATGAAAATGGAGTTTAGTTCCCAGAGGAGAGAAATGCTTTTGTTCTTGACCACCAACATGGCCGCCGTGACGTCACGTGCAAAGCAGCAATGGAGTGTAACAAAGAGAAACAGCCTGCATTGCACATCGATATCTTAAACGGTTTAAAAGCTTCAATGCAACAGTCTCACTTATGTCCCTGAGAAACCACTGAAAAACGTCTCGACTTCGTTTAGAGAGGCGTTAACAACGAAATGCCACCCTACTCCTACAAAACTCCTAGGAAACGGAAACCTCCTGATAAAATTTCTTTTACAATTCGTGGTTTGGGTTGAGACAATAATTATTACGTGCTCACAACAGATAAATATACGATGGAAAATTGTAACCTTGTGTTGAACTCAAGCTGAGATAGGACACCAAGCAGAAAATAAATAAACAAACAGAACTTAACATTAGAATTAAGAAAAGATTAAATCAGGCAAAAGGTTAAGCTATATTAGTATAATTTATTCAGATAGTTGTTAAGCTGAGATAATTGTAAAATTAGCTGGTGTTCCTTAAGCATTAACTGCCCTCACTTAATTTCAAGATTTCAAGTAGACAGGAGAGAATAATCATGACTGAACCATTCCATTAAAACAAACAGCGACATACATCGCCATGGTCACAATATGAACCTACGCTTTGTATCACAGTGTGAAGAAGAAATTTGTGAAACGATCTTCTATTCGAGAAACACTGGTGTTACTTGAAAACCGTAACAGAAAAATGTTTCGACCAAGGAACCAAGAAATGACGAAAGGAAACTCCTTCATTGTTATGGTCAGCAACTCTGCTTTAACTGCCTCCTTGGTACTTTAATGAACCGCTACAGTTTGAGAATGCGAGCAAAGAATACGAGGACAAGATATCTCACCCATGTTAAATTGGCTAAAAACACTGAACTTCCTCATTCAAGTTACTAGAGAGTGCTGCAATAACGTATGCGAATGATCTTTGAAAAACTCCTTAGCAAAATCTGCGGGAAACATGTCTGGTTCTAACAAGTTTCTTCTCCCAATGACGGAAACTTTTTAAACTATTATCATTACTGTTACTGTTTTCGTTAGTTTTAGCGCTCACACGGCCTAAGTTTATTCTTATATACTTAAAAGGGGGAAATATGTTAGGGTACATTGTTGCTCAGTGAGTCTGCTTCATTGTATGCGCTTCTCTTCGTAATCATTAATATTTAATCAGTTTATTCTATTTATTTCGGTGTTAGCCATTTTAGCCTTATTTAGGGATATATATTATTTAAATAAATTTGTTTTTATGTCGGTTCGGAAATCAAAAGTTCCACCATATCTCAAATATCATTGTTAAGGGACAAAGGTTGGTGTTTACAAGCTGTCAAAACAGCTGGACACGCTTAAGTTTTTACTAGCAAACCTTTGCTGGTCAGTTAAGTCCTTTGCTAAAGGATTTTTGTACCGACCTCTTAGGTGTTGGGATCAATCAAAAATAAAAGTTGGACGCAGGGTAATTGCAGGAAACATAATAAGTGTAGTTTCAGTCTTTCACAACTAAAGGTTTAACTGAGGTTAAGAAACACCTCTTTCTTCAAGCTTATGTAAGAAACACAGAAACAAATTCAAAAGATGGAAATAAGTAGTTGTATTCAGCTGGGGAATAGGTAAACAAGCATTTCCTGTTAACGAAGTTCGCTTACTTAAACCTGGAGTTGGTTCTCACTTTCGCTTCAAGACTTGAATCATAATCAGATGATTTCCTTATCTCATTAAAATCTAACCTAAGGCCACGTGTCCTAACACCTTTCGAGTTCTTTCTCTGTTGAACTAGTTTTAGCCAAATTTCACTTACTTTTCTGACCTCAAACTAGAATTTCTTTCGACACAATCTTAGGAAAATTTAGTTTCTTTCAAACTATCGTTTTGGTTCCCTGTAAAGGAATTTGGGTATAGAGATATTTCTAGTTTTGAAAATTCCTTCCACGCGTAGTGGGAGTCAACTCAATTTCAGCTCCTTTTGTTTTCTAAACTCTGACACTTACTGACACCTTTTTCTTGTATATGAATTCCATGTAAAACTGTAAAAAATCAATTAACTTAATTGTTCAATATAAATAAAACCTCTTGTGAGTAGCTTCACAGTTACGCCTTGAGATCCGAGATAGCTAAGAGGAGTTTGTAACTTCAACGGAAAGATTAAAACCATCGTCAACTGCCAAACTCTGGTTGTGTCACCTCGCTTCACGTAATCCTAAAGTCTGTAGAAGTCCCCCTTATTATTCTCTTGGGTAACCTGTGCGCAGGCTCACTCGTGCTAGTTGGGGAATATTTTGGCGGCGGGGACGACATCGCGAGAGGTTCTTTTTTCTTCGAGCGAAGGAGGCTTTGCCGCCAAAATTATCCCCGGACTAGCAAAAGTCTTTTGGGTTGGTCAGACGAACGGATTTGACCAAAGCAAAATAAAATAAAAAAACGCATTAATTCTGGAAATAGGTGGCCCGATGCCATAGCGTCATTCCCGTCGACCCTGGACACAAAAAAGGATGGTCACATGTCATGGTCGAAGTCATAGTAGAAGTGAAACAACATGGGAAAAACTCGATACACCGCCAAAACAGTTCTATGCTACGAAACCCTGTTACAATGAATTTCCCAAATGGGTATTACATTTCGCGGGGATTTATATTCGCGGGTTTTAATTTCGCTAGTTCGTTTACAATCGCGAAAAACGCGAAATTACGTACCGATAAGGTAGTCTCCCTCACAGCCGCTCGTGGCGGAGTGAAGCAAGCGTCCCCCACCACGCGTTGTCAATCAAGTAATTCTCCAGCAAGTAGAATTTGAATCACTTCTAAACTCTTGCGTTGGCCTGGAAAAAATTGTAGATCTCCACCAGTCCTCCAAGTTGTAATGCGCAAGAAGTTCATAGAAATTCTTCCAGAAAACTAATGCCATATCATCGACAGTTATAATGGGACCGTCAAACTTACTCGCCTCCTTTCTACTTGGACGACATTCTGACGTCCATGGCTTTGGAGGTCGGCAGCAGGCATAGTGGAATGACATCATGGGCCGAAAGATTATCCGCCTGATGTTGTACGCATAGGGAAGTTCTTTCCAGCCACTGTCTGCATAAAACTCATTCAGCAATTCCTGATCCGTTGGGCAGGTGTCTTTTTCTGTTGTCTCCCGCCAGTGTTTCATGATTTCTTGATAGGTTTTCAAATCTGGCTTGAACACCAGAAGCCCTGCATTGAAACAAGGATCCAGAACACCAGGTCGGGAGCAAGGCGCGGCTGCAAAGTGTTCCGGGATGTCAAAAAGTTCATCTATGTTAGACATCAGCATGTAATCAGCATCAACATAAATCATTTTGGAGAACTCTGTGTAGTTCCACGCGTGAAATCTTGTGTGTGTTCCCTTAATTCTGTGTCCTAGAGGTCTTCCAAAAAGTCCGCTATTTCGATCTCCACCAACTTTAGCATCCATCCAATCGCAATCCATTTCTTCGACTAAACGAGTTTCCCAGCCGACCCTTTGAAGCGCGTCTTGTGTATCCTCACTCACATTTTCTGATATAAGCGCAATCATATTCTTGTGACAAGAAAATGTTTGAATTGAGTGACCAAGAACCAAAGCGGGAACGACAAAGTCATCATTGACCATAACAGTTAACCACGCTACATCTTTTCGTGACCCAAATTTATTCTTGTTGCACCACTGTTTACCGAATTGTCTCTCCAGTTGATACGATCTCCATTCCTTTCGAGCAAGCACCAGTTCGTTGGCCAAAAATCTCTCTTTATCATTAATAATATGTAAAGAGACGATCTTCACAAATTTGTATGAATACGGAATTAAAATGGGTCTCCAGGCAGCAATACAAACAGTGAACATTATAAAAGGAGTACAAAGCAATATGCATATTGTCTTTCGTGATCTTGATTCTTGCGTTGTTAATTCCGTTTCATTGCTCATATTCGATTCCACGCTCATTCGACTGAATCTGTTATAGCGAAGAATCAAGCACCTCCACGTCGACGACGAATAGAGAGAAAGTCGTCTTCATCTAATGTTTTCCAATGTAAGGAATTATGTTATACCCGTGTTATCCATCACGCAACTTCGTAGGTTATGGGATTATGCATGCAAATTGGTCCACGTGTCAATCACTCCTCAATGGCGATGGCGCAATTCTAATATTTTTGTCTTTCAGGTTTTTTTTTTTAGCAAAGCCTCTTGGATAAGATCAGCTAGTATCACTCACACTCAATTTGATATTTTGAAGAATTTATAAATTCTTATTAGAACAAACAATAGAATTTTTTTAGCTTGTATGCAGCCGCTAACAAACTGGCGTACGCTCCTTTAATTAATACTTGGAGCCCTTGATAATACCGTCGCCGAAAGTCACATCGCCATCGACGGGTTCTGAAAATACAATAAGTTGCGTTACTATATGTCTAGAGCTCAAGAAAGCAAAGGCTATTGCGAGAAAGTCCAAAAAAAAAAAACAGTTAATGCAAAATTCACAAACCTTATCGGTCTAATTTCCCATTTCAGATTATAAATACTCTGCATAAATTAGGGAGTTTTCGGGCAGTTCAAGAGCCAAATTTGCCTCATAATTGTTCGTCTGCTAAAACGGATCAAAGCTTTGATGGACAATGACTGTCATTCCGCGAACTATGCCCATGAACACTCAAAAGTCATTTACATCTGACTTAATCAAAAACCGCTCTCTGCATGTAACTTTTTTGATGCCAGAATAGTCTGAAATTCACAATTCTACAACGATTCTTCTCTTCAACCTATCCCGTCAAACTGTGGTGCTGGGAACATCGACCTGCGTCACCTTAGGGTGTAAGGAAAGGCTGAATGGGCCCAAACTGATAGTGCCCGAAAAAAAAACCAACAAGCTAATAACAAGCCGAGCCTAAACTTCTATTGTCCCGATTAATTTTTAAATTATGAACATTAAAATTCTTAAAGTTTACTATAATTGGCTTCAAACAAAGATGAAAACTTGTGGCGAAGAGCCGATGAATTATGGCGGTAGCGAAAAAAACAAAAGAAAGACTGGAAGGAAAAATAGAAATAAAAAAACAAGGGAAAGCTGAGGGCATCATCGCCGTTTTCGGGTGTCTACCTCCATTTTTCGGGAGTCAGTTAGTTTTCGGGTCTTTGCCATAGTTTTCGAGTCTTCGGGGGTCTTCGTTTTCGCAACAACCTGGGGTATTTTGAACTGAGGAGAAATTACGACATCATCTGCATCATAATTACCGTATTAACATAACCTGAACGATATTATTCATCGTGATGCGTGTATTATACTACTACATGTTGAGAAATTTCTGAAATTTGATTGGCTTAGAGTAGCGGTATTTCAGCTTAATTTGAAATACCTACATGTGAAAATTAAGAGTATGATAAAATAATAAGAGTATGATTTGTACGTGACTTTGGCATAAATACCACTCGTGATTCAAATTTCACCGCCCCCAACGGCTCGTGAAATTACGTATAACAATACGCTTGTTCAGGTTTTTTATTTTCTATCGCACGCGATAGTCACTCTAATGAGGTTTCACTCAGGGGCGACCCAACGGACTATTTTCTGTAACTGAAATATCTGTTTGGAGAGGCAAATATTTTCCATTGCTTAAATATGGCTATTTAAGGTACAATTTTCGAAGCTTATCGAACAAAATGCGTACAATTTTCTCAAGTTTAATTAAATTTTTATATTTTACACCTTAAGAGGCTAATTTTCGTAGGAAAACTGAAGCCTAAAATTATTATCACTTTCTGGAAAATAACATAGAAGCCCTTGTATTAAAATTTTGAAAAGCCTCAAGTTCCCCTAAGATGACCGAACAGTTTATAGCGCCGATTTTCTAGAGATCTAAAAGTACTCTGGATAGCGTAAAAGACTTTTCAATGCATTCAGGAGGAAACCGTCGTTGGGTGCCCCTGTTCACTGGTTTTAAATGACGCGTTACTATGGTGCTTAAGCTGTCCAGATTGTAGTACGGTGTAGAACGATTAGCCTGCGAGGCCGTGGCGGTTTTGTCGGGAGCACTACTGAGCGGCGAAGTACCAAAAACGCGCGCCTCCGGTTTCTCTGCCCTCGCCCGCGTATATTACTTAGCGCGCCCAACCAAAGACGCCATGCTACAAATATAGAACGATTTGCATCGTTTCGGACCTCGAATTTAATTCAGCTGAATAACGATAAGCTATTGTCGAAAACAACCCAAAGAAATATAATAAAACCCGGTTCAGTCAACTTTTAAAATGTTGGTCAATCATTCTACAACCTTGACGAATTAAACCCGATTACGCTTGCCGTGCTACACGGCAGTACACGACGTTTGAAACGGGCCGTGATACATCGCATGATGTTGTCGACCACATGATCATTTTGTTTCAGTTTCATTGTATTTTATTTTTGCTAATTTTTGTTTATTATTTTTGTCTCTAGTTAGTTCAAATTGGCGCAAGAGAACAACGAGAGCAGGTGGATACGTTAATTTTCCTTTGCATTTGGGTAGGTAATGTTGATAAACAGAGACTGAAACAAGTATTGAAACCAAAACTAAAACCAAATTGTTGTTACATGTATATGTATTTGTACTAAAGATCAAAGCCACTTGAGAAATTTGACGTTCATAACAAAGCGCGTGTTCTTGCGGTTTCTTAAATTTCAGTAAATGCATTGCGTGAGTAGGCTTATTAAAAGCGGATAACGTCATCAATGTTATGTATGGTTAGCCAAGTGATGACTACTAAAGTGTAGCTTGTTTATTTCCATGATATAACCTGACACGTTAAAATACAGTTGCGTGTGACTAGGAATTCTGAGCTGACACGAGTACTTATGTTGAAACCGCACACAATTTATCAACTGAATTAACTGTAAGTTACTTTTAATTTTGTATTATATATCTCAGGCATGTTTTAGTTATGTATGGGCCAATATATACAGGTGACTCAAACATGTTGACCAGCTCTTTCAGTATAAATTTGCCGTGATCGTGACAGAACGTACGTCTTCGACTTCAAATAAAACACTCTTGCGTCGCCACCTGGGATAAATTAAAAAAGCGTTTGTATCACACGCTAATAAAAATTTATGAACTTCAACAAGGGTTGAAGTTTTTCATCCCAACTCTTTTGAAAACCCCATAATGTAACTTTGACACTAGGGACTGAGTGTTTACTCGTTTCACATGATAAAGGATCGGGAGGGGAAAAGGACTGTTGAAAATTTCGAAAAATGACCTCTAATTGGCAAGTTCCCTTTTTTGTGAGCGTCTAAGTCGTTGGATCTATTATGACATTCAAGTAACATCAAGCGGAAAAAAATTACCAAACAAACGGGTAAACTTCAGTGAAATTCTAACACGAATTGTTTGTGATGACAGATAGGCCTGACAGGTTCAATTGTTGTTTTTCGTTTGAACAGCCTTGTTTAAGTTACAGCTGGTTTTTCTAACAATATATTCGCAAATTCGACTGCAAGTCAGTTAACTTAGGATCATATACAGAAATTGCTCGTTATGATCCTTTATTAGAAAACGTTGCTCGACAGCCTGAGAAAGTATTTGTTTTCCAAGTGCTGTGAATGATGCATATTCATGTTTAATTTGCTGTCGATATTGGATGGATGTTTTACTCTCAGGGATTTGAAACAAGGAATCTCCGTGGTCTAGGCACAGCAAACGCATCTCGACGATCTTACGTCGAAATAGGGGACTGTGAACAGTCGAGAAAAAACAAGTACAATTGACCTTTCAGGGCAAAATAAACGAAAAATTAGTGACGTAAGGAGATATTAGACATATTATCGTCAATATAATGCTCCGATGACTCCTCATGGATCCTTTTAAAATAGGCCTGGATCGTAAACGTTGCCAACTTCGTTGCCAGAGCTTTTCCTTGAGAAAATAGGAAAGCCCTGGGAACGGAGGTTGAAATGTTACGACCCAGGCCAAGTTCAGCTAGTTTTAAAAGGATTTGTGTGATCTCGTTCTTTCTGAATATGCCAACAAATCCCTTAATTTCACAAATTTGAATTTTTTGACGCACGTCACACTTTCTTCTCTATTTTGACCGATATTAGCATTGCTATTTTAACAATCTAGCCTACTCTTCTCTAATTGGTTGCAACTTTTTGTCGCGAAAGCTGAATCTTCTAATAGACTGAAAACGCTAACTCCGACGCGGCCGACGCGTTGCGTGACCACTCAAAGAAGACGTCCGACCATCTGGTCGTAAGTCAAATGGCCTACGAATACAGACGTCTCTCCTTGCCAGCCTGCTAACGCCCCAAGAGACGAGGAGCAAGGTGAGACGTCTGTAATTGCAGGCTAAACCAAAGTCGAGCCTAAATTCGAAATGCAGTAGTTCAAACGCTCTGTCAAAAACCAGGGGGGGGGGGACTCCGTAAATGAAAGGGGTGGGAATGCTCGTCGTCTCGCTTAGGGGTGTAAATTTCGGATTTTGGTCTCGCTTAGGGTGTTCTTGGCAAAACACTATTATATTATTTTTAGCCGTAAAGGTCTCTTTTAGGGTTGCACTCGAAGAAATATTAAAAAATTATGCATTTTCAATTCGTTTTATGTACTCGATTCATGTAATCAAGGTTTAACATAATCGCTTTTAGGGGTCAAAAAAGGTTAGGCCACGCCCAGATTGGTCTCCTTTAGGGGTTTAATTCAAAATTTCCAACGAGCATCCCCACCCCTTTCATATGCGGAGTCCCCCCTCTCCCCCCGGGTCAAAAAATCAAGTAACTGATCTATATCTTTTACCTTTTTATTCACGACAAAGTGAATATGAATACTGCTGGAGCGGATTTATGTTGACTAGCAGAAGGTATATGAACTGTTGGGTGACAACAAGAAGACGAAGGATGCAAAGAAACAGGCTTCTCAAATTTCTTCTGGTCGTTTTGGCTCTTATCGCGTTTCTTCACTTCATCGTTTTACCAGCAGCCAGTGGAGGATACAACGATGAATGTTTTATCCCTGACGAAAAACGTCGAATTTTAAGGACCATGGTGCAGAATATTTCGAAAGTGTTTGACAAATACGATGTACAATACTGGCTTGACTACGGTGTGTTCTTCCTCCATAAATAAATAAATAAATAAATAAATAAATAATAAGTAAATGATACAGTCGAACCTTCATGTGCGACCACATCTCGTAAGCGACCGCGGTCACTTTTTGGCTAGAATTTCCCCGGGAATTTTCCATTGTTTTGAACCTCTTCTAGGCGACCACCTGATACAATGGTCTCACTATGAGTTCACTGCATGGACTACGCTACTCAGAGTATGAGAAGAACTTTTAGAAACACTGACATGGATTTACCAACATAAAAAAGTAGAAATTATATGCAATACTTTCTCTCCAAAATGTACATGTGCCCGCACTTCTCCTCGTAAAAGACTTCTTGCAGTTCGACTCTTGTAAGCGACCGCCTCCTATAAGAGACCACTAACTCTTCTCGTTTTAGCTAGTCTCCTACGGGAGGCAGGGGCGTGCTCAGCTTTTCGGACTAGTTGTAGCTAGGCCTGGCTGACTTTCATTTCCACATACCCTAAAAATTGCACGCATGACCAGTACGCACTGACCTCACCAATTAACACTTTGACCTGGTCTGTAGGTCTATGGGCTGGCTACGCCCCTGGAAGGTTCGACTGTAATTCACCAACGTTGTTATCCTCCTGTGTATGGGTGGTTTTAACCTGTACTTTCTATTCAAATGGGGGAGGGGGAACAGTCCCTTATTTGGCCTAGACGGGTATGTGCCGCTGAGCGGGGAATGGTTTTAAGGGGCTTGGGTCTTAAGAAGGGCTTCAGATCCCTGATTTAAAGTTCGCAATTCATTTAAATCCAACTCACTCTACTTTTTAAATGGGAAGTTTTATCCTTGCTTCAACACTTCTCCGGAAGTTTAATTTCTTCGTGTTTACTTGCCAATTTTTCTTTTCCGAGAGTAATATATCGCCCCATGTGAGGGAACCCAGGACAGCCTTGCTGCCTTGGATTCTGGAATCCACGTCGTGGATTCCGGATTCAAGGAACTGGATTCCGGATTCTTTGTCATTAAAATTCGGACTCTGGATTCCAATCATTAGTGGGATTCCGGATTCCTTAAGCTGTATCCGGATTCCAAAGCCTAGGATTCCGAATTCCACAAGAGCAATTTCTCGGATTCTGGGATTCGGTTCCACAAGCAAAGATTTTCGGGATTCCGATATCCGCTTTGAATTCTTTTTTCTCGAATTTACATGCAGAAGAAAGCATGTTATCTTTTTCAACAAGGATTCTCTCTTATTAATAGATGCTGTAATTTGACCCAATGAATCAGTGCCTGCTCTCATTCCTGGGGCTTTTTACACTGAGGGAGGAAGATACTAGCAACAGAAAGGTCCTAGAATTACGACAGATCTCCGTAGCGCCAATCGTTTTCTGCATTCAGCTTCATGTAATGGGTTGTACTTGTCCCTAGCGCTAGGATCTTCCTAGTTCTAGGAAGAGAGGTAGGAAGATGCTAGTAATCTTGACAAATCAGACAAAAATGACGGTAGGTCGTTTACTGGATAATGACGGTAATAAAAGCTGACCGTTTCGTTTTGCGTCACCACGACCTGGTAATTGGGGTAATTATTAACGCCAGTTAAGAGGGTAGAAGGGCCCAAATTCCCAAATGGGAACAGGCTCCATTTGCGGAAAAGGAAAAAAACGAGGTGAAACAGCAGCAAAAAAATCGCCGAACGAAGCGAGCCGAGTGGTGGACAGCCACTTCGCTAACCGAGTTTTTTTTTTCCACCCTCCCCGATTTTTCTGTAGAGAGATTAAGAATTACGCCAAACGGCAAACGGCAAACGTGATTTTTACCACGTGACCAAGTTTTTCCCTTTATTATCGTTTACTGTTTATCACTTCAACTAAAAAAAAAAGTAGTTTCACGCTAGTTTTATACATAACAATTGTTCTTAACAGTTTTAATCTGCTTAAATTCAATTCTGAGAAATTCTCAACTTGAATCTGACGTTTCCCGTTTAGCATAAACGTGAATCTTAATTTCTCATTTTCACCTTTTTCCTCCACTACGGAGCCTGGTTCCAAGCTATTTTGCTTATTTAGTTCGCTATCTTAAATTCCTCATCTCTTCTTGGGTACCACAAAGACCGAAATTTCTGCATGTAAAACCCCCAAAAAGTTGTTTCGCCTTCTAAGTACTTCCTGGTACTGGAATTTTCTTCTCTCCATGTAAACAACCCCTTAAATCACGCCACCTCCCCTTACTCAAGGCTCGACTGATTTCTGCCGATTGTTCGGGTCCGCCAGAGGAGAGGAGCGCGTGCTTATTTCCCGATCAGCGTCTGGTAATCGAGCCTACCCTCGTAATAAATTATAATTTAATAATTTATGATGATTTATGACTAACAATAGACGACTGTTTAACTGTGACAATAGACGGATCGAAACGCACCAATTACTGATTACGAGTCTTCATAGCCAATAACATCACGGCTTAACTGACAGACGACCAATAACATCGCAACGTAATTGACCAATCAGATCAATAACCAGAGTATAATACCATCAACTGACGTGATACAACTCACTTTGACTCTGAAGATGACTGCCGCACAGGTTGTCGAAACGTCAGTCACTGTCAACAACAACAGTCCTATTCAGGACTACGTTCACCCGGACGATCAAACTCAACCAAATTTTAATAATTTATATTCGTAAATAAACTGGGTTTTTTTTCAATCTTCCAGGGACACTTCTTGGCGCTTATCGCATGGGTGACGTTCTTCCCCACGACCATGACGCGGACATGTCATTTCTTGTGACTTCAAACATTTCTCAAGCCTTTCAGGAATTGGCCAAGTCCGGGATCACAGCAGCGGGAATTAAAGCGAGATTCAAGGGGGTGATACTTGACTTTGTGCCATGGAAACCTAAATATCGAACCACCCACGACGGGACGCAATTAATGCTGTATAAGTCATACCCTTCATACGTATTAGAAAAGGATAACATCATGAATAGATATCATCATAAGTTAGAAACATTTCCATATTCCTGGGCGTTTCCCGCGGGGAGAATCAATTTCCACGGAGTCTCTGCTTCTGTCCCTCACTCACCAGAGAAGTTACTGTCCTTCCGATATCCTTATACCTTTGGCCTTTTTGGAGTGCGAATGAAAACGCCGTATAAATGGAAGTGTTACGTTCCGTGTTGGTTGAGAAAAAGCAATGGATGTTAGAGGGACTAGGGTGCTATTTTAAGCAATTTCAGATCACAGAACTGAAAGAAATGTCAAAACTATAGCGATTTTCGTATGATCTTGAAATGAAAACGCACGAACAAAACAGAAACAACAAACGAACGGAAATAGAGTGATTTGATTGGTTTATCGAACGGATACAAACGCGCGTGGCTTTTGGTTGGTTAAGCGAACGCTCGGTTGAGAAAAATTCATGCCCGAAAAACTTTCTAGAAATCAATCGATACTTTGCTTTGACGTCATACTACAACATACTAGCATTCCACTGGCTGATAAACATAACTAACGAGCACTTACCAAAACCATTTTTCGGGTTCATACGGAAAACGGTCTAGATCATAGAGTTCATAGTTTTTATTTAATAGACAACAAAAAGTTGTAGCTGATGGTGACACGACCCCTTTTTTGCCTATAAACAGACGAGTGCCTCAGGGCACTATAATTGGACCCATCCGGTTTTCTGTAATGTTAAATGATATACAAGCTGTTGATTCACACAGTTCCACATTGGTTAAGTTTGCGGATGACCTAACTGAAAGCGTTTTGGTAAAGGGAATCCAGAACCAAGCTCCCCAAGAAGTGCAGAACATACTCAGTTGGACCCAGGACAACCTTATGACTATAAACCTTACTAAAACTAAGGAGATGGTTGTTAAGGGTAAAGTTGAGGGGCCCCTCCCACTGTCACTTTTGATATCAAACAGGAAGAATTTCTTAAGCTTTTAGGTGTTTATCTTCATAGCCATCCAACAAATTGGGACAAGCAAATTGACACCCTTCTTGGCAAAGCAGGGAGGCGTATGCACATATTACGAGTGTGCAAGAAATATGGCTATAGTCTAGACTCTCTACTCCACCTCTTCCATAGTTTGATTATACTTATTTTTTCTTATGGCATTTCAGTATGGGGTGTTGTTAGTTATGATAAGCATCTTTCCAAAATTGACAAGTTTCAGAAAAGAGCAGTTCGTTTTGGTTTCCTTAAGGAGGTTTCACACCCGTTTTAAGTCTTTTACAGGCCTCAGATAATAAGTTATGGAAGAGTATAACTACTTCTACTGAAGGCCCTTTGGTAGATCTCCTACCACCCAGTAAACCAAGATTGCTAAGGAATCGTGGTCATTCCTATGTTCTTCCTCAGATTAGGACCGAACGTTTTAAATGCTGTTTTATTAACAGACGCCTCTTCAATTTTATTTAATTGTCTATTGTAATCCAGAACGTTTCTTTTTTGGAACTAATAAAGATCTTTAATATTTTATATTTGTAGTAATAGATCCTTCCACGGTTTATTCGACTTTTGACAGAGACCAGTCGACACGGCTAAAACGAACGCCTTAAAATCAGCAAATGTGCCAAGTCTGAAAGAGATTTGTCAAAAACTAACGACGATATAGCACCCGCGTAATTTTATAGTACTTTCCCATGGTACTATTTATTGTGGGGGTATGTCCGAGCAACTCGCTCGTTACACTATCAGGTACCAGGAATTTACATCTTGGTCTTTAGTCTTCTTTTACTTCTGCCGACCATCTTAATCTTCTTACTTTCCTTCTCCACTCAATCCTTACTAACTAGCCAAATAAAACTTTTATTAACCCTTTCACTGCCAAATGTAGCCAAAGGAAAATTTCGACCAAGTTTGCCAATTTCATTTTGTAAAATTTTGAAAAACAAATAGCACCATGTGACAGTAAAGGCGGAGAGCTTTCATTTGAATGGTCACATCATAGGATTTCGTCCACAGACTCGAAAGTTAGACTCATCTTACAAACTCCACCAAGCACTCTGGCAGTGAAGGGGTTAATAAGACGAGAGACTTCAACATGATCATCTTCAGACCGCGAAAATATCTACTAATAATTCCTTTATCTTTCTGCAAAAAGACGATCGGGTGAGCGTTTTAATTGAATAAGGAATAGAGTTCCAAATTTGGGAACCAATGCTCGTGAAAAAGGCAGATATTTTATTGGCTCTAGAGAACTTAGCTTTAAAAAATTCGTTAGAGACAGATCTTGCTCTGTAGTATGGACTCGTTAAAAACTAAAACGTGAAAAACATGATCTGCGAAAAACTTTAAAACGCTGGTTAACAAAACCAAACAGGAACCTCAATGGGACTAATGAACCAAGGTCAGCCCGAACATCACGAACACGACCACTTATGACACACTAGCATCTGACAATGGAAAGGGGTGGATCCAGAAAATTCAGAAAGGGGTGGCCGGGACACTTGCCCGCTTACCAGCTATATACTTTAGATACTTTGTGTTTTTCTGAGAATTCAATAAAAATAATACAAAATTTCAAAGAAAAAGGGGTGGCCGCGGCCCCCTCGGCCAGTTTGTAAATCCGCCCTTGATGACAAGCAAAGAATATTCCAAATATGGCATTAAGCAAATTCGCGAGCTAAGGAAAATTCAAGTACAAGTAATTAAGATCAAAAGATCAAAACAGGAAAACACCAATGTGGACAAAATCAAGACTACCCTAGCTTGACTCTCTTAGTGAAACAAAAACGAAACTTAAAAGATGAGACAAATGCCACAACTATGAACATGAAAAATCCACTTACTAATTTACTTGTAATTAGGCTATGTTCACATTATACAGGATAGCTCTTACGCCGGCACGAAACCATACCGAATAAGGCTTCTGTTCACACATTACGCTCAGTAGTCTGATAATTAGTGAGTTTACGCAACAGGACGGCAGGAAGAAGAGGACGGCAGAACGCTCGTGTGTAACAAACGTGACAAGGCTATTTCTTACGTGTTTTGTCGTGATCTTCACTTAACATCAATGTTTTCTGGTCTTTTGCAAAAAGATCTGTTTAAAGGAAAGTGAAGTTTGGCGAAAAGTTATTGCAAACAAAATTATTGTTACGCTTGTCACACAAGGTTTGCAGTCTTCTTCCCTCTCCCGTCCTGTTGCGTAAGTTCACCATTATCACAACCTATCGGTCGCACTACTTTCCACCAATTATACGGATACAAATGTTTCATGATTTCAATGCCATTTCTGGGAACTGAGATATTAAAGAATCCAAACTTCACTCTAGGCAAGGGTTGTTCGACTAAGTCAGCTGGGAATGTATGATAAAGTCTGTAGTTGAATGGTATCAACCAGGACTCGATACCAGGTCTCCTCATCATTCCATTATAATTATAAAACACAAACAAATCCAATGATGGCCACTGGGCTCCTTCAGAGATAACAATTAGCGAACTCTGCCACAGTCTGTTTTCCACGGACAGCCCAAGAACCATAAAGATGGCTTTGAATTCTTCAAATGACGTTTGGCTGAATTGACCATCGCCATTAATAGCAAGATCAACATCGTCGTCCCACGGAAGGGGACCCTCGATACCTCGTAAAGGTCCCCATAAAGAGCCGTACATAAGCCAGCAATCGATTGCCATTTTTTCTAATATTGCATGTACTTTGTACGTCAGTTGAACCATCTGGTTTAAGTCTTGTTCAGAATTCTTGCATCTGGGCGATGGACTCCAGGGCTTATTCCCGGTGTATGTTCCTGGAGTCGTTACGTTTAGTTTTAGATACATAAACAGGCAAACAATTGTAAACAGCAAATATTTTCCGGCTTTTTTGCGGTTATTTCTTCTACAATGAACCCAGGAGACCAGTACCCTCTTCCACGAGGAAAGAAAGCTCACAGCACGCATCAGGCGTTTGTCGTCGGTCATGCCCTGAAAATAAACAACGGGAAACAAAATTGCGCCTTTGTCAACAAAACAGCGCTAAAAATTTTAATAAAAACACTAAATATATTATGCACCTATCAATGTAAATCCCGTGGGGGGGGGGGGGAGGGCGGGGAAGGGGGGGGGGATTTGGGCCCGGCGCATATCCCAACGTGGGGTTTTTGTCGGGGCGAAGGCCCCCGGGGGTGGGGACATTTGATTTTACAGGATAGAACCGGGGATGAAATATACAATAGATGTTCATT